CCTGCCCCTCTCTGACCACCAGCCACTACAGCCCTGGCTCACCTGTCCAGCCTCCACACACTGTGGCCAGCCCGCACCTTGTTCCACAGTCAGACCCGAGCTCCTCCAGCGTCAGGGCCCCCTGTTTCCAGCAGGGTCAGTCGGCACATAGTAGGGCTCTTGAGAGGGGTTGGCTCCATGAGAGACAGTCTTGGAGCCTTGGGGTCCAGCACACAGTCCCCCACGCCTGGGTGGAAGCAGTCAGAGAGCGGGCTGTTGACAGGTAGGGGACGCAGCACCTGGGCCAGGACCCCGGCAGCTCCCCTTTGCTTCTCCCCCATAAGTTTAATAGGGAAGCTACGGGTACACGGACGGGGCAAAGGTCATCAGCAGATGTTAAGAACGGTTCTCACTATGCAATGGGCTTGTGCTTATCCACGGCCTCAAATTTTTCCACATTAAAATATGAAAATGGCCAGGTGCAGTGGTGCACGCCCGTAATCCCAGCAGCTAGGGAGGTGAGGGAGGAGGATCGAGAGTTCAAAGACAGCCTCAGCAACGGCAAGGCGCTAAACAACTCAGCAAGACTTTGTCTCTAAATGAAATACAAAACAGGGCTGGGGATGTGGCTCAGTGGTCAAGTGCCCCTGAGTTTAATCCCTGGCACCAAAAGAAAAAGGAGGAGGAGGAGGAGGAGGAGGAGGAGGAGGAGGAGAGAGAGAGAGAGAGAGAGAGATAGAGAGAGAGAAAGAAAGAAAGAAAGAAAGAAAGAAAGAAAGAAAGAAAGAAAGAAAGAAAGAAAGAAAGAAAGAAAGAAAGAAGGAAGGAAAGAGAGAAAGAGAGAGAGAAAGAAAATGACCTCAGACACACTCCCTGACCCCGGCCACTCCAAAGGGCCATCAAACAGATGGTGCAATTCTACCTTTAAGCCACCAGGTGGCGGCCAAGACCAACACATCCTCCCTCTGCCCACCTTGGCCTCCAGCTTCCTCCAAGGGCTCTCTGGGTCTCTGCAGTAGGGGAGCCCCCGATGCACAGCAGACCAGGGAAGGCCTATCCACTGCCGGGCCCTCCCTAGTGCCCAGAAGTGGATATTGCTATCTCACCTGAAGACTGGGAAAACCAGCCCCAGAGGGAGAAGGGACCTGCCCACCGGCACATAGCCTGAATGGGAACCTCCACATCCCCATTCACTGACTGATTTCACAAAGGGCTGGGGGTCACTTGGTTTTATCCGCAGTACCCAGAATGGCCTTGCAAAGACAAGGACGTGGTCAAGGCCCCACAGCAGCCTGGGGAAGGAGGCCAGTTGAGCCTGATCTGGCTTTCGGGGCCTGAGCTCATGGACCACCACGAGATGACTCTGGAGCCAGGATCCTGCAACATCAGAGTGCAGCACCCACCAGGGACACCAGTGGACAGGGGCTGAGTGGGGTTTGGCTCTGGTTGGGACGGGAAGGCAGGCCCCACGGCCACCCCACCTGGGAACCTGAGTTAGCAGGAGGTCCGGCAGGGCCTGCCCCATACCAGCCAGGCCGACAGCAGGAGGAACAGCAGGGTGAGGGCCGCAGCCAGGGTCACTGAGGGAACCAGGTCAGAGTCCTCAGGACCAGGCATGGCATCCCCAGGGGCGTCTCTGGGGGCCTGGGGGGCCCCGGACAGCTGGGTGCCAGAGACCTTCTCCCCTGGGGGTCCTGGGCGACCCATCTGTGGAAAGGAGGGATGGAGAGTCAGGTCCCCCTCTGGATGAGCCCCTGGGCCCACCCTGGGCCTCCCCTCCTGACCCACTATCTCAGGGAGCCCTGCTGGAGAGCTTGGGCCACAGCAAGGGCCCTAAGGTTCCCCACAGGTGGCCCAGGACAGTGAGACCTGAGCCTCTGCTCTGCTCTGTAAGGCGGGAGAAGGCCACAGGGAGATGGCAAGGACCAGCTGAGACCCCCTCACTTGGCTCCCACCTCCTTACCGTCCCCTGAGACCATGGAGTAGAAGGTCAGGCCCAGTCCATGGCCTCCTCCAGAGTGTGGCCCCGGTGCCAGGGTCCTGGAATGCGGCTGGGCCAGTGCCCAGCACGTAGAGGCTGTCAGACTGGTATGAGGGGACCTTTGTAGAGCCTGAGAGAGGGCTGCCTGCAACCAGTGCCCTCTGACAGCACAGCGCCCCAGGTGGCCACCAGGTTAGAGCTCAGCCAGAGAGGAGGCCCCTCAGAAGCCCCGGAGGTGGGCAGAGGCCATAGTGACAGCCCAAGACCACCAAAGTGGCAGGACCCTTCTCTGGACAGGGACAGAGTTCAAACTGGGTCATGGTCAGGGATGGCCTCTGCCCCAGGACCGGGCCCTCAGGCTGGACCCCAGGCCCTTCCGTTGACCCAGGTATGTTCATGAGCCTAGAAGTTCTGCAGGGAAATTACCTTCCAGCCCAGGAACTCCATGCTCTGGAGGGCCCCCCCCCACTGCCACACTCCCCAGGGACATGCCTTGGCGGGCAGCACCCTTCTTTCCTGGATAGAACCCACCTCCTGGGGCTGAGCTGCAGGAAATGGGGGACCCAGCCAGGAACTGCACCTCCATCTCACTGTGGTGTGTCCAAGGTAGGGGGGCAGCAGATGTCCCAGGTCACAAAGCAGAGCAAGGGGCCCTCTCCCAGGCCAGCCTCTAAACTGGGGCTCCCCACACAGGGGAGTAGAGGCTCAGGAAGGACAGAAGGCTCTCAATTCGGGTCAGTGAGGGGCTTCCAGGCGGCTGAGTGTCTGGCCCTGAGCAGGAGCAGAGAGGGGGAGAAACCCCTCCCCCAGAGGCCAGGTCCCCAAGCACCCAGAAGAAAAGAGGTGGCAAGCCCACCAGGGGGAGGCATCAATAGGCTTTCAAGGTCCCAAAAAATGACCCTTGAAGAAGGAAACTACCCTTTGAGGACGAGGATGCCACCTCAGTGTTCACCGTGAACAGAAAGGCTGGAAACAGCCCTGAGAGGTTCACCGGCACCCAGGGCCACCCCCCGGCAGCCTCACAGTGGTCCATCAAAAGTAGGAAGGACAGACTTCTGTCCCCCCATACCACATCACACTGCACAGCAGGGGAAGGAGCAAACCTGGGGACCACAACAGGGAAGAGCCCAGGACACCCAACCAGAGCCAGTCAGGAAGGAGCACTGCCTGGGGCTCCCTCCCAGGAAGCCTGGCAGGAGGACCTAAGCTAAGACAGGGGACAGCAGCCGCTTCTGCGGAAGGAGAAGGGCAGGTGGACCTCAGAAGGCCCAGAGAACTCCAGGGTGAGGGGAAAGCCCCCATCCAGATGGACAGACCGTCACGTCCATTGGCAGGTACACAAGAGGAGTTCATTCTGTCATCTGTAAATCCCACCTCGATAAAGTTGATTTTTTAAAAATACACTAAAAAGAGCCAGGAAAAAATAATGATTCCATTTCTACAAGGTTCAAGAGCAGGAACTCTAACCCATGATGCAGGGGTTCCTCCCAGGTTACTGGAATCTCGTTCCTGACGAGGATGACCAGGGGCACTTGGCAGCCCACTCTCTGAGCCCACCCTTGAGGTTTGTTCTCTCTTGGTTCTGAAAGATGGGGTGGCCCTGAAGAAGGCCCTCAGGAGCTCACCCTTCACCAGGCTGCCTGGGCCACAGCCTGTGTTTCAGGTGGGGAAAAACGCTTAAACCATTTTGTGAAGTGGAGACATAACCGTGTGCAGCCCCAGGGCCACTGGAGAGACCTGGGAAGCAGAAACTAGGGAGCCCTAGAGTGCCCGCCCTCAGGAGGGCTCAGAGGGAGGGATGTGGTTTCCCTGTGACTACTTTCTCTATTGTTCCACTACAGTTGTGTTTCTATTATAAGAAAAGGGAATTGAAACTTTTTTTTKGGGGGGGACAGAGGTACCTGGGTTAGCTTAACCACTGAGACACATCCCCAGCGCCTCACCCCCCACACCTTTTTAAAAAATTATTATTTTGAGACAAGGTCTTGCTAAGTCCTTAGGGATTCATTAACATGCTGAGACTGGCCTTTAACTTGTGATCCTTCTGCCTCAGTCTCCCCAGCTGCGGGGATTACAGGTGTGTGCGGGTCAGCCAGAATTGAAACTCAAAAAAAGAAAAATAGATAAATAAAAAGCTTGGCTTTACTATTTTGATAGCTAAAATTTGGAAAGAACTCAACTGTTCAACAACAAAGAATCAGTTTTAAAACCTGCGTGGTCACTGGTCCAGCAGGAGGGGAAGTGACTCAGCCCCCCTGTTGAAAAAGTCCAAAGGGAACTAACTGGACATAACATTGCAATTTTCTTTACTTTCAATTTTATCTTTTGAAAACAGGCTCCCAAGGAAGTTTCCGTTTCAGTTTTTATTTTTAACTTTTATATTATTACTAGGATGATTTGGAACAAGCCCAATTATGCTTGGCTCCCTTTCTTCCTCAAAATAGAGAAACTCGCATTTTCCTTCTGTTTCTTCCATGGCTTTTCCTTGCTCTCGGTCCTTCTCCTTAGGGCTGCGCCCTCCCCGCCCCGGGCTAGGCCCCTCTTCCTGCGCTCCCCTAACTGCCTCCGCCCAGTCCCTCTTCCCCCTGCCTTCACCCCACGCATCCTCTGGCTGCCCTGGAAGCTCAGCCTGATTCACTTGGTCACCCAATGGAGAGGAAGCCAGGGATAGAGGCGACACTGCGACGCGTATGGCAGGTGGAGTGGAGAGCAGTCAGAGCGAGACGAGCGTTCGCTGTGTGACCTTGGCGAGCGGCTACGCCTCTCTGGGTTTCCGTCTCCTCTGCAGAACTCGCTGCACCGCTGGGTTGGGCCCGGGACGGCTCCGCCAGGGCACCCCTACCACTCCACCCTCGCCTACTCGGGCGCGGCTTTCCGCTGCAGAGCGGCGACCTAGGGGCGCGGGCGGCGGCCGCGCCCGGCGGGATCGGCATCCCACCATCCGCGGGTGTGCGGCTGCCCCATTGGCCGGCGCGGCTCTGCAGGGCCGCCCCGTAGCCAATCGCGGCTGAGGGGCGGGGCCTGGGCGCGCCGGCCGCGATTTGCAGCCCCCGCGGATGCTCCAGCGCTGGCCTGGCCGCGTCCCGCCGGCTGGAGCGTGCTCGCGCGGGCCATGCAGGAGCCCCTGCTGGGAGCTGAGGGCCTGGACTATGACACCTTCCCCGAGAAGCCGCCCCCGTCGCCCGGAGAGAGGGCGCGGGTCGGGTGAGAGTCGCTGGGCGTGGGGGACGGGCGGGGACTGGGCCAGGTGGCTCTGGTCGCTCCAGCGGGAGCTGGCTCCACCCTGGGTGAGTAGCCACCAGGACCGTTTGGCTCCTTTCTGCCCTCATGTACCTAACCTTGCTGAAGAAGCTGGTCCTCCTTAGGGAAGGGACCATCCCAAAGACTGACAGGCCCAGCTGTCATAGACAGGGAGAGGGTGAGGGACTTGCCTAAGGCCACACAGAAAGCTTTCAGAAGCAGAGCTGGGGGCAAAACCCAAGCTTCCTCTCCTGGAAAAAAGTACCACAGCCACAGGCTGACGCCCTGGGAATTTCCAGGTGGCAGCCCTCAGGCCCTGGGGAGGTGTCAATCTGACCAGCCCGGCAGCCGCTGGGCTCAAAAGAGTCAGCAGCTCAGGGAAAAGAGGCTCAGACCCTGATTCTTTTGTCCCACCCCCACCACCAGGGCCCTGCAGAACAAAAGGGTGTTCTTGGCCACCTTTGCTGCGGTGCTGGGCAATTTCAGCTTTGGGTATGCCCTGGTCTACACGTCCCCTGTCATCCCAGCCCTTGAGCACTCCTCAGACCCAGATCTGCATCTGACCAAAACTCAGGCATCCTGGTTTGGGGTAAGGACCACGGTTGAAGCTGGAAGGAGTCGGGTAGGGGAGCATGAACCCTCTGAGCTTTGCCCACTGCTAGGGATTTCCCAAGAGCCCTCCTTGAGAGTCCACCCCCTCCCTCACACACTCCTGGCTGCTGGTTGGTGGGGGGAGGCCAGATCATAGCAATGAACCAGGAAGTGAAAGCCAGTGGAGAAAACCTGGGACAGAACAGGTATGGTGCCCCCAAGGTCTCCCAGAGGGTGAGGGTTCCCCAGGCCCACAGTCAGTCTGCCACAGCAGACACCCCTCTGGATGGATGGAGGGGACAGGGGTATCAGGTGCCAGTGGGACCAGAACCAGCTGGGAAAGATCAAGATCTCCAACAGCAGCATCCAGAGGCCATGAGCGGAGAGGAGAGGAGGACACCCTGGATTCTAGAATTAAAATCTAAATAGCCTCAGATTCCAATCACAGCCTGGTGGCTAAGAGGAAAAGACCTAGTGTTTACTGAGCACTTTGTGCCAGGTCTGTGTGGACACTTGGCCGACCTGTGAGGTGGGTTCTGTTGTTCTCCCATAATACAGCTGGAGGGGCTGGGGATAGAGCTCAGTTGGTAGAGTGCTTGCCTCACATGCACAAGGCCCTGGGTTCAATCCCCAGCACCATAAAAACAAAATTAAAAAAAAAAAAAAACATAATACATCTGGAGAAACAGGCTGGCACAAGCTAAACCTTGTGCCCATGCCCCACTGCTGATGAGTAGTGGTGTTGAGACTGGGTCCTAGCCACCATCTTCAGGGAATTCAGGAACATCCTGGGACCTTCAAGTCAGAGTCCCCTATGTTAAAATATTAGACAGAGAACCACTGTAGATGTGTGGCCCCACCTCCTCCCTAGGGCAAGACCCCTAAAATTTAAATGGTTGTGCGCATGCTGCATGCACACTTCCGGAGACTGGAGGCTTACCATCATAGTGGGCCTGGGTCTGGGGCTCGCTCCTGGGGTTGCCTGGGGAAGAAGCTGCCCCTGGCTCTGATGGGGTGGGGGTGCTCCCGGCCCCACACACATGCCTGCACCCCTCCTCTGCAGTCTGTGTTCACCCTGGGAGCTGCTGCTGGGGGCCTCAGTGCCATGGTCCTCAATGACCTCCTGGGACGGAAGCTCAGCATCATGTTCTCTGCGATCCCCTCTGCGGCGGGGTACGCGCTCATGGCAGGCGCCCATGGCCTCTGGATGCTGCTGTTGGGGAGGACGCTCACTGGCTTTGCTGGGGGACTCACGGCGGCCTGCATCCCGGTAAGGCCAGGACGTGTCCCGCTGCCTTGGCATGGCCACTACTTGCTTAGGTCTTCTGGCCTCGGGCCTATGGTCAGTGAGAATATGCTTGCTGTCCCCTCTGGCTGCCCAGGGAGCCTCTGCTCACCACCCCCCACCAAGGTCCCTGATTTCAGGAAACTGTCCCCATCCTAGACTCCCCCTACTTCCTACCCTGTTTCTTGACCGCAGTCAGATGCATTTCTCAACTGGAGAAGACCCACATTGAGCAATGGGGAAGTCCCTGCCCCATACCTGCCCTGGCGTCTTGTCATCTCATCTACCCATACCCAGTCAGCACCCTGATGAGGTCAGGGTGGGGACGAAGGTCACTGAGGAAGACACACCTGCTCAGCCCCTAGGTCTGAGTGCCCCCCAGACCTATGACTGCCCAGCCTCCATCCCCACTCAGAGCTGAGTCATCCCACTGCCTTGCAGTCAGGAAGCTGAGGCTTGAGAGTATGCAGCTGGTCACCATCCAGAGCGGGTCACCCCAGCAACCTCACCTCCCAAGGCTCACAGGGTCACTTGCCCTGTGAGCGTGCTCTCCAGAGCCTGGCCAGATGGGTGTCTTGCAGGTGTACGTATCTGAGATCGCCCCTGCTGGTGTCCGTGGGGCCCTGGGGGCCACGCCGCAGCTCATGGCAGTGTTCGGATCGCTGTCTCTCTACGCCCTTGGCAAGTATCCTGCACCTTGCAGGCTCGGGGGAGCACTGCAGACTTTGGAAAGGGAAAGGACATGCCCAGAAGGAACCCAGGGCTTAGAGGAAAGAGACCTGGTCCCCTGCGCCAGTGGGCCACCACCCCATCCTGTCCCCATATTCATGAGGCCCAGTAAGGGCATCTGGACCAGCAGTCTGGGTCACCTTCGAGCAGCAGGAGGCCTCAAGTCATGAACAGCTAAGGTGGACCAGTGTAGGGGAGAGCCTCGTGCAGCAGCCTGGGCAGGTGGCGTGGAGGCCTGGGCCTGGCCTGCCCACCCTGTCCCTCCCCTCCTCTGGCCCTTCAGACCCTCCCAGGACCTCTTGCTACCTGCCAGGGGCCAGGCACTCCCCATAGCTCCTCCCTGCCTCCATCACAGACCAGGGCATTCAGGGAAGGACTCGACTCACAGGGCAGATGAGGCTGTCCAGAGGTTGCAGTGCAGGAGCTGTGTGTGTCTGCCATGCTCCCCTCCTCCAGGCCTCCTGCTGCCCTGGCGTTGGCTGGCTGTGGCCGGGGAGGGGCCTGTGCTCGTCATGGTCCTGCTGCTCAGCTTCATGCCCAACTCGCCACGGTTCCTGCTCTCCCGCGGCAGGGATGAGGAGGCACTGCAGGCACTGACCTGGCTGCGCCCAGCAGATGCAGACGTCCACTGGGAGTTCGAGCAGATCCAGGACAATGTCCGGAGACAGGTGTGTTTGGGGGCTGGGGCTGGTGGACCCACCCCAGGCAACTGTGGTTCCATGTGGCCTGAGCTAGTTACTAGGCCTCTTCAAACCCAGGTTGCTTTTCTTGGAATAAGGTGGTTACAGCTGACCCAGAGCTGGGGCTGTCTCCATCAGCGGGGTCTCCCCAGCCCCAAGAGTGGCCAGTGCAGCTCCCTCAGCAGCGGTCTTGTGTTCCAGAGCAGCCGAGTGTCGTGGGCAGAGGCCCGGGACCCCCACATGTACCGGCCGGTGCTCATTGCCCTGCTCATGCGTTTCCTGCAGCAGCTGACAGGCATCACGCCCATACTGGTCTACCTGCAGTCCATCTTCGACAGCACGGCCGTGCTGCTGGTGAGCGCCTGCCTGAGTCCAGGTGGGCTGGCAGACCCGCTCAGCCCCGATCCCCAGCCCCCAGCCCCAGGCCCTGCTGTGCCAGAGTTCGGGCATGCACACCCTCATGTGTGGAGGCCAAAGGGTTCTTCCTGTCTCTGGGCCACGCGCCTGCTCTCAGAATTTGTTTTTAAGTAAAGTTTAAATGGTTTTAAATAAATTATGCAAGATGATGGAGGAAACTGATTTAATAGAAACGCAGCACCACCACCTCCATACCAGGATTCTGCCCAGAGCCCTGCTGCCTCCTCAGGGAGGCTGCCACTTTCCTGGGACGCCAGCTGTCCCTGTGGGAGGGAGACAGCAGCAAGGCTGCCAAGACCCCTGTCCAGACGCAGTGGAGAGGATTTGAGAACAGCAGGTTTCCTGGGACAGTGGGCTCAGTGGTGAGCATGGTAGATGTGCCCTGCTGGGAACCCCAGGGTGGTGTGCAGAGGAAGTGCCTGGCATACAGCAGGCACTCGGCACTCCAGGGTGCCTGTGGCTGTGGCCTTGGGTCTGAGCACCCTGCAGAGCCTTAGGCAACCAGGTGGGGTGAGAAGCAGGGACAGGAGCAGCAGGCCAGTCATCTCAGCCTCAGGGGTCTCCTCCCCACAGCCCCCCAAGGATGATGCAGCCATTGTGGGAGCCGTGAGGCTTCTGTCCGTGCTGATCGCGGCCTTCACCATGGATCTGGCTGGCCGCAAGGTCCTGCTCTTCGTTTCGGGTGAGGCTCCCTGCCCCACTTCTCCCCTCCCACCCACAGTGTCTCTACCCACTGCCACTTGTGCCAGAGCTAGGGCACAGCCACCTGGGGCCTCCCCAGCACCTGGCACCAGCCAGCTTCTCCAGAAAGCCTGCTGGAGCTCGGGTGAGCAACACACCAGGGGTGAGGGGAGCCCAGACCAGGGCTGGCAGTGTGTGTGCTACCCTGTGGGAGGCCTGTCCCAAGCCAGCCATGCTGCCCGGCTCAGGGTGCCACAGAGCATGACGGTTCCCCCAGGAGAGCCATGGCTCAGAGGGTCCTGGCCCCTGAGGGCCACCTGTGTCCACAGCAACCATCATGTTTGCTGCCAACCTGACGCTGGGGCTGTATGTCCAATTTGGTCCAAGGCCTCTGACCCCCAACAGCACTGTGAGCCTCGAGACCCTGTCCTTGGCGGGCACAGAGCAGCCCCCGGCCACACCCACCAGCTACCTCACTCTGGTGCCCCTCCTGGCCACCATGTTCTTCATCATGGGTAGGACTGGGGTTCCTAGGGGTGGGGTGATGGCCTGGGTGAGGGGCTGTCTCGCGGGTGAGGCAGGGGCCCTACTGCTGTCCTGTTTGTCTACTGAGGGGGGAGGCTGGAGAGGTGGGGACAGACCCTGTGTGCCCCCCCGCCACTCTCCCCTCTCCTGGCAGGATATGCCATGGGCTGGGGGCCCATCACCTGGCTGCTCATGTCGGAGATCCTGCCCTTGCGTGCCCGTGGCGTAGCCTCAGGGCTCTGTGTGCTGGTCAGCTGGCTCACCGCCTTCGTCCTCACCAAGTCCTTCCTGCTGGTGGTGGTAAGTGTTTGCCATGGGCCCCTGTGTGGTGCCAGGCCTTCTGCGAAGTGACCCAACCCCACAGTGTTCCTGGGAGAAGAGCATGTGCCCTTACTAGAAGGCTGAGGATGGTCAGGGCGCAGCACACCATGGCCCCTGCGTTTTAAGATACGAGAATGAGTTGGGGAACTGTTCTGAGAAGTCAGGTCCCCTCCAGGCCAGGACACAGCCTGGAGCTCTGCCAGCAGCTGAGAGCACAACATCCACACTCAGGCTTGCCATCCCAGGCGCTGCCCACTCACCAGCCCATCTCCTGCTGCAGCCAGCAGGCCCTGGTGGCACCAGAACCAGCCCTGCTCCAAAATCCCATGAGCAGCTGACTGGAGCGGCCTGGGCCAGGGCGGAGCACAGAGCTGGGCACACACTGCTGCTAGAGGGTGCAGAGCGGAGACTCCAGGAACACCTAGACCAGCCCCAAGAGGACCCCCAGGGAGGCAGGTCCTGGGAGAGGCCCCACAGGCCTCCTGTGTGACCCACCTTCCACTTCCCCCCTCAGAAAGCCTTCAGCCTCCAGGTGCCCTTCTTCTTCTTCGCGGCCATCTGCCTGGTGAGCCTAGTGTTCACGGGCTGCTGTGTGCCTGAGACCAAGGGCCGCTCCCTGGAGCAGATCGAGTCCTTCTTCAGCAGCAGGAGGAGGTCCTTCCTGCACTAGGCCAGGGATCTACCTGCCAGGTGGCCAGCCTCCACGGTGGCCACAAACCCATGCCCTGCAGCCGGGACGTGGTGCAGCCGTCACTCCTATGAGCCGCAGCACAGGGTCAACCAGGACCTGCTTCTGACTGGACAGGCAGCACGCTCCGGCTCAGGCGGCCTGCAGGAGGTGGCACAGACCTGCTGGCTCTCAGGCTGGCCCTTGGCGTGTGCCAGGCCGTGTGGAGGACAGAGCAGCACTGGAGGTGGCATTGGCTCAGCACAGGAACATCATCACTTGGCCTCCTCCAGGCGTCTTGGTGTGGACAGGAGGGTCTGTGGACATCATGCAGCAACACATGCCCTACTTCCAGAGGCCAGGGCACAGGACAGCCACTTGCCCCACATCAGCCCCACCTCAGGGATAGGGGCAACCATCTGCAAACTGTGTTCACCCTATTTACAAAAATAAATAAGTTGGGCCTGCAGCCCTATGGAGGAAGGAGTGGGGTCTTTAGCTGGAGGAGGCTCCCCACCCTTGCAGGCAGGCCAGACCAGACACCGGCCATGGCTTCAGAGCCTGCTGCCCTAGTAGGGCCCTAAATTCATGGTCACTCTGGACTTGAGCTCAGTGCAGCAGAGAGGCAGGAGGGGCAGTGTGGTGGGTCCACCTTGGGGCCTGGCTCTTCCTGGTGTGTCACCTTGGAGCCCCTTTCCCCATCTAAGCAGGCTGACAGGGCCTTCAGTTACTCCTGGGCCAGCAGCTCCTGCTCCGCCATCATGGACACGGGTATCCCTACTGCTGACAGGCGCCAGAGACAGAAGGTAACAGCAGAGAGCAAGCGGAGGAACTGCAGCCCTGCTTTACTGCTCAAAATGCAGCCGCGTGGAAGAGCACACCAGGAACGGGCACAGAGGAGGTGTGGGGCTGGAGTCCCAGTGATGTCCCCCGCCCCCGATGCGGGCCTTCAGAGCTGACTGCAGGCCACCTGGGAATCTCCTGGCAAGCAACACCCCACTCTGGCCTGTGACCACTCTGCCTCGGACCCACCCTATGGCCTGCCCAGCCCAGCAATGGGTTTCCCCTCAAGGTGGATGTCACCTTCCTTAATAGCACAGCCAGCACCTCCTCTCCCTGTACCTGCAGCAAGGTCCCTCTGAATGGGTTGGGGCCTGGCAGGAGTGACTCAAGCCCCACACCCAGACAAGTGAGCAGGGGGGCAGGCAGGGCTGCTCCTCCCGGGAGGTAGACGGGTCTTACCACTGCACACACACGCATAGCCCTTTGAGCCCAGCATGGGCCTGAGGATGGTAGCCCTTAAGGAACCCTGAAGGCACGTGTCCCACCAACCTAGGACTGAGCCTGGCCAGGATCTTGGAGGGCCAAGGCCCACTCCAGACCCCACTGACATGTCCTGGGGCAGTGCTGGGCAGAGGCCCTGCTCCCAGCCCCAAACTCTCCAGGCCTGTGTGTTCCCCCTGGGAAACAGACCTGGGGCTGCTTTCCTGGGAGCAAGAGCCAGTCCCTGAGTTCTGGGGGCCCACTGCAGGCCCACCTGGGGGTTTGGGAGGGAGGGAGACAGGGAGCTGGGCCCAGATGCAGCGTTTTCCACAGCAGCCTATTCTGCCCAGGTCCATCGAGGTGTGGCCAGACCTTGTCAGACATATGCTTAGTGGCCAAGAGCCAATCTGCTAATCAAACCAGGGTCAAGGCCACAGGGCAGGAGGAAGAGTCAGCAGTGTGGGAGGAGGATGGGGGCCATGAACAGATACATCCAGGAGGGGTCCCCGCTTCCCCATGCGCCTGCATAGAGGCTTGTGCCTGGTGGCCTGGCACTGGGACAGGGGATACAGCTCTGTGGGGGAGATGGGCTCTGGCTTTTGCCCAGCTCTACAAAGGCAGGAAGCTCCCCAGGGGCAGGCTGGCAAGCATACCTGAGGTGGACCAAGCTCAGTCCCTACTATAGGCTGCTGCAGCTGCTACCACCCACAGGACCACAGCAGAGGAGTGGGTGGGACCTTATGAGCACCACTCCCCACCCCCTTAGCACCAGGGCCTGAGGTGGAGTGAGAGGCAGAAGCCAGCAGCCTGGGTCAGCTGAGAAGGCAGAGCAGCTAGGGTGCCTGGAGGAGCCTGTCCAACAGGCCAGGGACTGGGAGGGGGTCCACCTGACCAGCCAGCCACTGCCAGGCTTGCTGTGGGGGCAGGGGTGCATCTTGGGAGCACTATGGGCTCCCTCCCAGAGGACTGGCCATGTCCCTGGACAGCAGCAGTCAGCTTGGAGACATTGTTCTCCCCAACCTCTGCCTTGAGGACAGGGAAATTGGGCAGGATTGGAACTCCACCTGCCAGGAGAGCTGGGAGACTTTCCCTAAGCTTCAGTGCTTGGGCCTCAGGGACCTGGTTGGGGAGTCCGGAGCCCAGGTGACATGCCCCTCAACTCCCAGCCAGGGCCAGTGTGTCTGGGGAAAGCTGCTCCTAGGCCTGGGGTGGACCCTATCACGTGGGGCCTGCAGACCCACCAGAAGCCCAGTCCACTAAGCCAGGCTGGCAGGATCAGGCCAGGTGGCCATCCCCACTGCACTGAGATGGGCCATACAGCCCAGGCCCTGAGCACCAGCCAAGTCAGGGCTCCAGGCTTGGAGAACAGGCTGGCAGAAGAGGGTCAGGCAGTGGGGGGGTCCTCTCCCAGGCTGTCCCATAGGGCTGGTGCTCTGCCTCCTCCAGAGAAGCCCATGGACCCCTGTGGACTCGTCACAGCTCCCCCTCCAGGGTCTCTGCCAGCTTCTCTTCGTCTGCCTGCTGTCTCTGCTGCTGGATCCGGGCATAGGAGATGGCATCACCCCTGGGGAGAGAGCGGGGGTGTTCTGCAGGGCCCAGCCTCAGGCCCAGCCCTCCTGGCTACCACCCAATCCAGGCATGACTGCAGGCAGAGCCTACTGGGCCTCTGGTTCCCCAGACAGAGGCTACTGCTAGGGGACAAAGGGCTGGTCACTTCTGAAACTGGCACAGGCTGCCTGGATGTTGGGTTGAGAAAATCTATTCAGGGAGGGTGGCAATGGGCTATGAGGGGTCTACACACTCTGGATGGACGGAGGCCAATCAGAGTGACACGGGCCACCCAAAGGCCACCCAGTGGTCTTGCCTGCATTCCCTAGAGAACTGATGAGCCACTGGCAACCCCTGTGCCTCAACTCCCATAGCTGGACAACAGAGTCCACCCTCAGCCCTCCCCCCTGGACAGCAGGAGGCAGGAGGCCCACCCAGACGCACTTTTTGCCCAAGGCAGCAAGTCCATACAGCACCCCTGTGGCAAAGGCGATGGCATTGCCCAGCAGTGTGGTCAGGCTCAGGCTCATGATGATGGGGACGATGGCCATCCTAGGGGAGAGACAGAGGTCAAGGGGCACTGCCACTCTGTGCCACCACCATCCCTCCAGACTTCTGGTGGGGGGATGGGGAGAAGGATCCTCAGAACCCAACAGGGACACATGTTCAGGTGGGGCTTCTGAAGCCGTGAGGTAGCCCCAACAGGCTGCCAGCACCTGTGCCTTACTGGGGTGAGGAGCCAAAGCTCTCATCAGATTCTCAGCAAGGTCTGTGACCTACAAAGAGTCCAAAGCCCTCCCTGTTCATAGAGAGAGGCTGTGCCCAGAGAATCTCTTCATAAAAATCCCTGTGACCAAGTTGCTTAGCTCTAAAGCTCAGTCCTTTGCTGTGACATAAGGTCAGGCCTCAGACTGACCGGGGTGAGTTGTGCCAACTACCAAGCTGACCTGGGGCCTGGAAACCATAGGTACTGAGCAAGTGCTGTTGTTAGGACAGTAGAACCAGCCGAAGCTTGACAGGTAGGGTCCCCACCTCAGACCCCTGGCCTCAGGCTCCTCAGTGCAGACCTGTGCAAGGCACAGCCCAGGTCAGTTCCCACCCAGCTGGGTGCCACCTGGCCTGTGATCTGCTCTGGCTTTAAAATCCCAGCAGCTGATTCTTGATCTTGGCCACCAGAGCAGCAGTGACTCCTGGGTCAGCCAGGAAAATGGCTGTCCCACCTTCCTGAGAGGAGGTCAGACTCCACCAGCTGCATGCCACCTGAGTTTCCATTCTAGATGTTACTGCAGCTGCACATTTCAAGTTACAGACTGTCTGACCTTGGCTTGCGATGGTTCAACTTAGAGTTGTTTTTTTTTTGTTTGTTTGTTTTTTTAATTTTACGATGGTGCAAAAGGGTTGCAGGCTCACAGTGGAAACTGTGCTTAGAATCTGGGTTTTGATCCTTCCTAGGCTCTGGACACATGTCAGGGCATCATCTCATAATGTTCACATGAATGGCCGAAAGGCTCTGCACACACATGACGTCACTGAGCTGAGTGGTGGCACCTGGGTGCAGAACAGTGCATGCACACCTGACGTGCAGTGGATGTGTGGGCCAAGACCCCATCATAAGTCCAGGCACCTCTGCAATAAAGTAACAACAGAAACCACAGGAAGGGACAGCCCAGGGGAGACCTTCAAAATAAAACTCAAGGCAAACAACAGGCCAGAAAATATGTGCAGGAAATGTAAGGAGGTATGCAATCTTTAATAAAGAAACACACATAACCTGCTAAGTGATACACTAACAGGCTGTGAAGTAACCAGAAAGTCCTCAAATAAGAAAATGCAGCTGGGTACAGTGGTGCACACATGTAACCCCAATGGCTCAGGAGGCTAAGGCAGGAGGATTGCAGGTTCGAGGCCAGCCTCAGCAACCTGGCAAAGCTGTTAACAACCTAGTGAGACCCTGTCTCAAAAAAAAAAAAAAAAAAAAAAAAAGGCCAGGGACATGGCTCAGTGGTTAACTGCCTCTGGGTCCAATCCCTAATACCAAAAAGAAAAAAAAGGGGGGGGGGTCTCTGATCCTGTCATCCTTCACCATTCTGACACAGGAGGGCCTGCAGAAACCAGCGTCTGTGCTCTCAGGAGCAGGCTGCCAGGCAGCACTAGTCTGCACTTATCTTAAAGATAATCAGGAACAATAACAGCCTCCCGTGCAAAGGGCCTGCTCTCAGAGCTCCCGCCTAAGGAGTTACTTGCAGGCATTCTGTCTGGTGACTGTGATGTGAAGAGCCACATACTGAACTTGTGGGAAACAGGAAAGTAGACCCAAAGCACATTTAGAGGCCATGATATTTCCAAGCCCCGTCCTGCGTTTCCAGCTCTCATCAGGACACCTAGGCCAACCAAGCTGCTGTGAAAGGCCACACAGCAAGGCCCCTTCAGATCCACATCTGCTAACTCCCCACCAAGGGACCAAACCCCCAGAGCCTACCACTGTCTCACTGCACACAAAGCTGCAGGCACTTCAACCCCATCCATCTTTGACCCTCACAGACTGGATGCCCAGATGTGGGACCGCTAGGCCACGCTCGTCAGCAGCCATCATGTAGTCATTCCACCCGAGGCCACCAAGTCCCACTCCAGAGAGGAAGCCCATGCACCAGCACCTGCCCCATCCACCCTCACCAGTGGCCCTTCTGGTCCTGTTGCCAGCAGGGTTTTGGGGAACCGTGTCAGGGGCTCTGCCCAGCAGTCCCTCACCCACAGTAGAAGAGAGCCTTCTGCCAGGAGCGCAGCCGGTCCACCCTCTCAGCCACTGTGTTTGCAAACTCCACGAACTGGCAGCAGAAGGGCGCCTCACACAGCAACAGCACGAAGGCGTTCATGCTAGGGCAAGGGCGGGAGAGAGGGACAGCTGGGTGACAACCCACAGCCAGGGGCAAACCAGCACCATGAGGAAGACCACCCTTCCCACCCAACCCAGGAAGTGCCCAGCTACTCCAGGGCAGGGAGCAGCTATCCCCAGGGAGCCTCTTCCAAGCACTTCACCCCCAGCTGTGCCCACACCCCCATGCCCCTGCCTGAACTGAGCACTCAAGATGGAAGAGGCTGGCCGTCTGGCTCCGTCGTCCTTCTTGGCTGTGACAGAGGAACAAGACCCTCTCAAGTGGCACTGAGCCCACAGCAAGCTCAGCCATGCAGAGCACCCACAGTTCCACCATCACCTACATCACCATCCCAGGGAGGACAGACAGCAGAGTCACCAGGCCACCCACAGTCAGGCAGGCATGATGATGGGTGCCCGACCCCATGGAGTCCTGAGCCCAGGGACAGGCAGGCTAGGCAGACGCAGGGCCGTGGGAGCCCACACTGGGAGGAAGGTGCTCAAAGGCCTTCTACCCCAGCACGCTCACTGGGAGCAGCTGACCCCTGGGGCTTCTGCCCTGTCCCGTGGGTAATGGCCAGCTACCAGGCACTGAGCCCTGTGTGCCAGGCTGTCTGCCCAAGCCTGAAAGGAAAAGTGCCATCACTACCTCGTTTACAGAGATGCAGCCCCAGGACTGGAGCCCCGGGCAGGAATTTTCTTTTAACTCTTAGTCGCTGCCCTGGCCTCCAAGACAGCACCGCATCCGCCCAGTGGACCCTCCCATGCCCCACTCACCAGCCTCCACCCCTGCTGCTTCAGGCCAGCACAGGCCTCTGTCCCCCTCCACCTGCCCCGAGTCTCCCCCAGGCCTAAGGTCTGAGGGCAGGGCCTGCCTCTTGTCCCGAGTGCCCCTTGCAGCCCCTTGTGGACACCAGCAAGTATACAGCACAGTGCCACACCATGTGCCAGAGCTGCACTGCATCAGTCCCCGCCCTGCCTGTGCCTGTCCATGGGCAGGGGCTCACCCGTGGCGTGGCAACCCCGGCTCCCGCACAGCACAGGGCTGCTTCTCCCGCAGGGCCGCCTCTGGCACTGCTCACCACCTCCCAGCAGCACCGCCCTCTCCCAGATCAGGCCAGCTCCCTCCTGGCCACCCTGACCACAGCCCTTCCATACTATAGCCCAGGAGCTCCCAGGGGGCAGGTACATCACGCTGGAAGAGGGGTCTGAAGAGCCCGACTCAACGGACGCTCAAGGACTGTTTACCATCTCAATTCTGCACCCAGGAAAGGCACAGGCGGGCATCCCCCGACTCCTCATTAAGAAACCTGAACAAGGGTGAGTGGGAAGGAGGAAAGGCCCGCGCAGTACCTGAAGTCCGCAGGCCCCAATCCCCGCCAGGCAGGACAGCCACGTGCTACTCACATCATCCACACGCCAGCGGCAATTTTCAGAGGGTAGATAGTGATGCAGCTGAAGAGTCCGGAGATGGCACAAGCTTGAAAGAAGCAGCACAGCAGGAGTCAGCAGGGAGGTGGCAGAGCTGATGGAAGGGCTGCCTGGGAGGCGTGGGGCGGCCCTGAGAACTCGGCTAGAGCTCAGCCCTCCAATCAGCTCAAGGCTCCCTCTAAGCCAGGAGGCTGGAGAGGTGAAGCAGCTCGTCCAGGACCTCGAAGCTGGACTTGGGAGGACGTCCCCCAACTTCATTCTGAGGCCCGGAGGGACCTGTCCTCTGAATCCAGCCACCTCGCAGGTGGTTAGGATTAAAGAATAAAGTCACTCAAAGGCTCAGGACAGAGCCTGAGTGAGGGCCACTGTCTCCACTCATGGGCTGGCCATATAAGGAATCCTCAGACTTGGAGTCCTTGGCTGGGACTTTGGGAAAAGGGGCTCCTTCTCCTGTGTAACAGCCATCAGGACCAGAGAGACAGGAGTTGGCTCAGCTCTCTCTAGCAGCTGAGTGGCCTTCCCTGTATGTAGCCAACCTACCCGATGTGAGAACACCACGGGGCCAGAGGGGATGGCGTGTCCTCCGCTGCCCCGAATGTGGATCCCTGATGCCCCTCTCTTCCCATCTGCACCTCAGAGCAGGGGCTGTTGCACCCACTACCACAGCCTAGCTGCAGCAGGAGCTTTAGGAGCTGCCAGGCCATTCCAGGGAGCTGGGAGCTGGGTGGGAAGCAAGCCCAAGTGGTGGCCAGGAAAGGGCAGGAAGGGACACTAGCCCTCTGACAGCAATCAGCAACCAGCTCATTAAACTTGCAGCAGCTCCTCTGCACCTGATCCCTCCACCTGGCCCTGGGATTCTGCCGTTTTCCATTTTCCCATGTAACCCTATGCAGACGGTAGGCGATGCAGGAAGAAACCGGATAAGTGACCGGAACTGAGTGGGACTGCCTCCTGTGCCACGCACTCAAAAGTGGCCCTTGGCATTCTTATCAACGTGCCTCAAGCTGCAAGGTTCCCCTCGGTCACAGATGCAGGGGACTGACTGCCCCTTCAGAGAGCCAAAGGATGGCATGGCTTCTGCCCAGGAGTAGCTGGGCTTGGTCTCACCTGAGGAGCCTGTGCTGCCTGCTGCAGTCAGCATCCCCGCCTGCAGCCCTGATGCTGCCCCCACTGCCCTTACAACACAGGCTTTGGGGAGGACCAGGTCCAAGACAGACAGCTCCAGTCAGGAGTCCTTGACAATGTGCAGTTAATGGGTGTCCATCCAGGATTGCCAATGCCCGCGTCTTCCGTGTTAAGGGGATGTTGCCACGCAGCCCTCTCTTCTCCTGGCTAATCCCTCCAGATGGCCTTAGGACCGGGGTTAAGACCCCTCCAACTCCCCAAGGCCTCTCAACTCAGGGAGGGCAACCCTATCCCAAAGTGACCAGCCAGGTGCACGCTCTTGTAGAAACCCGTTACATCTCTAAAACAATCCCTGTTGTATCTCTCCTTCCCCACTCCCTCTCCCTCTCGGGTGTGTGTGTGAGATGGGGGTAACTGGGGGATTGAACCCAGGGGTGCTCTACCACTAAACCACATCCCCATTCCTTTCTTAATTCTAAGACAGGGTCTCCAACGTTGCAGAGGTTGGTCCCAAACTTGTGATCCTCCTGCCTCAGTGCACTGAGTAGCTGGGAGCACAGGTGTGCAACACTGCCCCTCTAGAACACCTGCATGTGTGCGTTCTGCCCTGTGGTATACTATTTGGTACTCATAAGACAATGTCCCCCTCAAAATGCACAGGTGCAGCAGACCCTTCAGGGTGTGCCACAGGTCTCCTGAAGTTTACTTGTGGCCCCAACACAGCACCAGTACTCTTGGGGCAACCCCACTTTGAGAAGAACAGAATTGGATGGGACTCCAGGGTCAACCTGGGAGTCAGGTAGGCCACGCTGACCAAGATGGAGGGAGGATGGCAACCTGCAAGCCATGATCAGGACCTTTCCTTTCTCCATCACTGACCACTGCCACCCTCAGTAACGCCCACCTGATCTGCCAGGAAACAGCTAACTATCCTTGAGAGAATCTGACCTCCACCCCACCAACCTCTCCCAAATGGGCAGGAGCTATGCCTTTGGATAGGAACTACCTTGCCTGCAGCAGGCTCCTAACCCTGCCTCATCCTGCCAGAACTTCCACCTCGCTCACCACAAGGCTGGGGCTTGCAGATGCCCAGGTGCTCCTTCTGGCAGGAGAGCAAAAGAGTTTGCCCCTGTAAGCCTCCAGCCCCCTGTGCCAAGCAGACACTGGAATCCCCGCAACTCCAAAGACCAGACCAGCCCTGAAGCTCCAAGAAGTGACAGTGTTGAAAGCAGACATGCCAATGGACTCCTATTTGCTTTGGAAGGCTGGCAACATGATCTTCACCTGTGTGGCAGATCTTCAATCCTTTTGTCTTCTCTGAGCCTGTGCTAAGACAGCCCATTCTCCTAGTAACCTGAGGTTGGGGTGTGTGCCTGGCAGATCTGGAGGGTATAAGGAGGGCCACTGAGAGGCAGGGAGGACAGCATGAACAGAGTGGACCGCAGAGAGAATGGAGAGTGAGGATCCAAAGGAGAGGTTGCCTCCTTCTGCCCACTGTCCAGCTGCCCTCAGGGAACACCTGTCCCCTGCACAACCTGACCCTCACTCAGCAAACTTCCCAGTCAGTGCCTTCCTGCCACAGTCTGACCAGATCTGCACCCGCCCCACATAGGAACAAGCTTTGCTCAAAGGTTGGGAACAGCTGTCCCACCTCGCCCAGGTAGGAAAGGGCAGGCGACCTCAGGGAGACTCTGCTCCCCTTTTGATGGCCCCAGAACCACCAACTCAGTCTCGGGGCCAAGCCCAGGCCCGAGGTCGGGAACCACCGCAACCCCGAGGGCGCCGGCTCCCAGCGGCTTCGCCGCGTCTGGCCAAAACCTGACCCGTGCGGGTTCCTTCCCCGGCCGGGTACTCACAGATGGCCCCCAGCACGCCTGACAGGCGACACAGCCAACGGTACCACCACGTCATGCCCTCCTCCTGCGCGGGTGGCGCGGGGCTGGCCGACGCCCCCGCAGCGCCTGAGCCGCTCATGCTGCCGCGGCGCCTTGGTGGAGCCCCAGGCCGGCACAAAGACCGTGTCCGCCCGCGCGCTGCCTTGTGGGAGAGGGTTCATTAGCATAGGAGGCGGGCCCGCCGGCGAGGTAGAGGGTTGGTGGATATTAGCATAGGGGGCGGAACCCGCCGGAAAGGTAGAGGGTTGGTGGAGATTAGCATAGGGGCGGAGCCTGCCGGACAGGTGAACACTGGCATAGAGAGCGGGGAGGGGGATGGTTGCTCTTTACAAGGTGGGAGGGGCCCTCCAGCAATACTGGGTAGTGGAGATTGATGGATATTAGCATAAGAGGCGGTCCCGCAGAAGAGGTTGGCCGTTGACGGACAATAGTATAGAGGGCGGGGCTCGCAGGTACGCACCGAGGGCTGGGTATTCATTACGTTGGGGCGAGCCTGGCGGCAGCTGCACCTATAAGTACCAAATCCTCCCACCTGGACTGACCTAGGAGGTTAGGAGTGGGTCTTTGCGGAGAGTTGGCAGTGCGCCAGCCTCAGGACCCAGTCCAGACTCCACTCTCCCTGGCCTTTCCTGTTCCCTGAGTAGGAGGAAGACAACTGAAGGTGGCGAATGAATCCCCACCTTGGGGGTTTTCAAACCAGGTTTAGACAGATTACATGAAGAAAACGTCAGGTCAGGCCTCCCATTTCCTTTATTGACATCTGAAGGGCTGGGAACTGCTTTCCCAAAGAGTCTCCACCTCCTACACCTAAGGCCAAGACCCCAAAGGAGAATCCTAAGATTGATGGAAGTCCTAGTTGGAAGGCACTCTGAGACCAGAGTTAAACCCTACAGGTTGCCCAGACATCTACTAGTGTTCATTGGGTGTTGGGTTCCTTCTCTTTCCTTCCAAAGCTTGGAGAGAAATCTAGGGCAGGGCCTGGCTGTGCTCCGGGCTCTTCTGGCATTCTGGGATTGAGGGTCCAGTACTGACCCTGCAGGCTGGCATGTGCCTCCAGGAAGCCCTGGCTAAACTCCACCTCAGCCTCACTGCCCTCTGACTCCCAGTAGAGAGCCTGCTGCCCGTGGAATGTTGTGGTCCTCAGGCTGTGGGCATCCCGGATCTGCAGGAAAGGGGACAAGCAAAAGGAACATCCCTGAGGGATGACTAGCCAGTGTTTCTACAGGCCTGTGTATGCAAATTACCACACATACAGGATCACATCTAATCCTCACAAGAGCCCTGTCAGGTGGCCACTCCTGTTCCACTCAGGAGAATGAGACTCAGGGATGTTACACCACTTCCCCAGAACACACAKCCAGAGTGCCAGAGCTGGGATGGGACCAGGCCTGATTCAGAAGCCAGGCTGCCTCCTCTGTGGGAGCTGAGGCCTTGCACAGCACTGTTCTCCCAAAGACAGAAAACCTCCACCCCACCTGTGCTCTTCTGGCAAATTACATCAGGCTGGGAAATGGGAAACCATGCTTCCACCCCAGGTTAACTGGCTGTCTACACAGAAGGGATCCTTCCTACTTCCCTCTTGCAGGTAGTGCAATAAACACTTCTTGGAGAATAAATGGAAGAAATTCCTCCCATTCTTTCACTAATGATTCTGAGGTTTTGATCTGAAGTAAATGAAAGGGGTCCCCTAAGCTCAGCAACCCCATCCTCAACCCAAAGGACAGCTGTCCAGAATCAGCAAATTCCCACATGGACTCACTGAGACATAGCTGGCGTTGGTTCCCTTAGTTCTAGGGCCCATGTGGGTGACCAGAGCATGGATGGCAATCCGGGCCTGTGGAGCCACACTGATGAAGACCCGGCAGCCCCCTACACCCATCATCGCTGAACTCAGTAGGGGGCTCACGATTTCACCCTGGGGTCCAAAGAGCTGTATGTCACATTCTGCAGGGGAGAGCAGGTGGGTAGACCAAGTGTGGGTCTCAGGGACTCAGGAGCCAGACAGGCTGCTGAGGTCAGGCAGGTCACAGTTGGGAGCAGTGAAGGGATCTGCAGCACTGGCTTAAGGTCAGGCTCCCAGGAAAAGCCCCCATGGAACCCCCTCCACCAATCCTAGCTGAGCGACTTTAGCAAATGCTTTCAATGCTCCCAGCTTCCATCCCTCCTTTACAGTGCAGGGACGGTGGCTCACCCTGGCAGGGCATTTGTCAGGAGGGCCTGATGCACTTATGCTACACAAGTACTCACCAGTGAAACTGGCACAAAAGAGGGCCCAATATGGCAGCCACTTGTGCCCCAACTGCTGCCCCTCTGGAGCCTCCCTAAGGCTCAGATGCTTATGTAGGGGGGAGGGCAGGAAGTGAGCAGTGAGAACTTGACCCAAGCAAGCTCACTTCTGAGGGGCAGGGAGGGACTTGAACTCCCCACATTCGATGGGGGGACCAGCAATCTCTGGAGCCACCTTGGGCTGCTGGAAGATAGCAAGTCCCTGAGGCAACCAAGGTCATTAGCAGACCATCGCAGTAGGACCACGGGCAAGGCAGGAGTCCCTGCGATGCCATCCTCTGAGAGGTGTGTGGTAGCGTGCATTTTTGCACAAGCAGGTGCATGAGAAGAGAACTGAGGGAAAGCAGCTCACAAAAGGACCTTGAAGAAGCTGAATGTCCAGTGAAAGGCAAGGGCAACGGCCCGAGGAACTGGGCAAGGATGTGGACCAAGTCCCATGTCTCCCCGTCCAGCTGCATGGCCCAGAGAAAAAGGGCTGCAGCCCTGTCCGGAACCCACACTGTGCACATGCAGAGCGACACTGAATACCCGGGTTCCTTCGTGGCTGGCTCCCCATCTTTCTCACTGCCCCACTGGAACTGGCCCCATTCCTGGCCAGCAGCACAGGCCCAGTCACCCTCTGAGGAGGTAGCACCTTGCTATACCTCTGTAGAAAGTTCCAGTGGCAGGCTGGCTCCTGTACCCCAGCAGCACTCCACTTCCGGGCCACACAAGGTGCAGCTTAGCCACCAGAATGTTGGTCCTGGAGCTGAAAGTCAGGCCAGACAGCTTCCCACACAACTTCCTCCACATGAACCGGCCCCAAAGCAGCAACTTCTCTCCTGGAAAGTATCAGGCAGTGAGGGCCCAGCACCCCTACTCCAGGTCGGCCACTGTGCTCCTGGTGGGCTGAGTTGAGTTCAAGCCACCACTTTCTTACTGACTGTTGACAAGTGGGGCATGTTACTCAATCTCTCCTAGCTTCAGGCTCCTCCTCTGCAAAATGGAGTGCTCACCCCGTGGTCATTAGATGACCCCGAGCATGAAAAGCAGGTATGCAGGTGGAGCACCCCACCAATAGCAAGAGTGCTAGAGTCATGCCGGCCCCTGGCAGGCCTGTAACTAGCAGCAACTGCCCACACAACCCAGATGTACCTGCACTGCAGTTGAGGGTGCTCTCAAGGACTTGGAGTGTTACCACCTCACCCAGGGGCCGCCCGATGGCCACCACACAGTCCGCCTGCCCTGGGCTTCGCATGTCAATGGTTCCTGTGGGTTCCAGGTGCTGCCTGCCACAGGCACCTACAGAGGGAGCAGGAGCATGGTGAGCATAGCCACTGGGGGTCCCAGCAGCACAGGGCCCAGCTCTCCCTGCTGTGCAAGGAGCCAGGACAGGGTGGCCCAGCAAGAAGTCACCTCAAGTCAGGAATGGGACTGCATGGATCAGAGCATTGTGATCTAAGGCCGAGCCGCTTCCAGCTGCTCCAGGGAGAAGGAGGCAGTGCAGGGCACTGGCGTTGTATCACATGGACCTGGGCTCTAGGCTGCACCCAGCAAGTCACTAGATGGTGACAGTTATGAATAAAAGTGTGGTTTCCCTTTGCCAAGCAGGAAGGGAGTCTACCCTGAGCCCAGTAGCATGCGGTCCAGAGGACAGAGGGCTTGTCTTGGCTTTCCCAGGAAGAGGTGGCTTTGCCCACCCTGCAGCCAGCCTCCCACAGAGAAAGGAGGAAGGAACCTAACTGGACTCCACCAGGCTTTCCTGGGGCCACTCCAGAGAAGCACCAGCAACAGCAGCTATGGTCTGACTGGGGTCGGTGGCTTCTTTGTGGGGCACTGAGTGGAGGGTCCCCCGCCCCTCACAGGGCCCAGCTTGGCAGCTGCGCACTGTTGCTGGCTTGGGTGAGTGCTGGCAGAAGCTGGCTGGCACAGGTGCCTGGGCTCCATGGCAGGTGGCGTGCCGGCGCTGGATGCCATCCCCACAGGAGACAGAGCACTGCAAAGAGGAGGCAGGAATCACGCTGGCCATGAGGACAGCAGTGCCACAGCCAGATGTAACTGATATTGTCCTCACACAACCTGGGAGTGACAAGTATCTCTATGCTACATGTTGGGAGACTGAGGGCCCTGGAGTGAGTCATGTATGTAGTAAGAATTAGGATTCAAACCCATCTCACCCCATCACCCTCACAGCCTTTACTCCCCAAAGCTACAGCAGGAACCAGGCACCCCTTGGGGTGTCCTCCTCCACGTTCCATCAGACCCTGCCCAACTCTGGCCCTGACCTCTGCCCAGCCCAGATGCCCAGGGTCCTGCTGACCAAGGTGGAAAATGGCCCTGGAGGAGGCCTCTGGGGCTGCGGATCGTCTCATCTCTTCTACCCCTGTACACCCCTGTACCCCCACTGAACCAGGCCCTCCTGGGCATTCTGAGTCCTCTTTGCCTTTGTCTTTCTGGTGCTTGGCACAGGGTGGCCGTGGCTCTCTGTAGAACTGAACTGTCTGCCCTTGTGCCCCAGTGTCTCCACTCTTGGCCTCCGAAGGCCCAGCTGCCTCACGATTGGGCCTGTGGTGCCTTCTGTCTCTAGGAGCCCCTTCCCCAGGAGATCCCCCTCCTCCTTTAGGAGGCCACAGTGAATCAGTGCCTGCAGGGCTCCTTGTGTGTGAGGACTCACAGCTGATGCCACCCCAGTCCCACTGGGAAGTCTGACGGGCTGTAGACCTGACCTCTGTCCAGGTGCCAACGTGCCACAGGTAGGTACAGTCAGTGAGGAGGCAGGGGACACTGGCTTGTGGCCGCACCAGAGCGGCACAGGACACCTCATCCACCTCAGTGTCCTGGCCTCCTTC